AGCTGTGGCTGTGAATATTCCAGCGTCGACTACTGAAGTACAAACTGCTGCCAGAGCAGTTGTACCCCCAGTAAATGGCGATGCAGCTAAAGCTGTCAAGACGCCAATAATGGCTATAGCGAAATTTGCCCTTGATGAAGCATTATATTTTTCATGAGTTGCTTCTTTCTCTGATAGCTCTTTCCCTGTATCTGAACCAATATTTCGATGACACTGTTTGATATCCGTAGCATATTGCACTAACTTATCAGTGACATCTGTCAAGTCATCTCTAATATGCCTAATTTTTAACTGTAAAATTTCAGAATTTTCTTTATTTTTTCTAGCATCAGATAGACGTAATCTCAATAATCCTAAAAGATCTTCCTTGGAAAATCCAACGTCATTACAGCATTCAGCAAATATTACAACTTCTTCAGCAAACCTTGCCAATTTGCTGGATTGCTTCACTGATTCGCTAGCGAAATCTCGAAAATTAAGACGCTGTCGATTAATTTCTTCAAGCACTTTCGATATTTCGTCATTTTTAATAATTTGAAGTTTCCTACAGTTAGAAAATCGTTTGATTATAGAGGTCATCGCTTCTCCAAAGGCTACTATGTCCAAAGTTGTAGAATTTACATTATCCTCTGGATAAATGAAAGTCATTTTTTGATATAGTGGTGTGAGAATTGAATTTATAAAATTCACAAAGGAATGGAATGATGGAATAAAATGAAGTAATATATCAATATTTTAATGTTAGCGTTAAGATGAGTTTCAGTATAATTACATATCTAGTTAATGTCATGTGAGTCGGCGTAGTTGTACAAAAGTTAACGATTTATTTTTCTTTTTTTTTAATTACTTTTTTTCGTCATGGTTAATGTGCAATTATGGCAAAATCCCGGCTTCCCAGACGTTTCAATTCTTCAAGATATAACCACCGAGATTTTAATTAATTTTCGAAAATGTAAAGAATTGAGAGCCAGACTTCAAATGCCAAATAACGATATTAATGAACTAAGCCGTATGTTAAATGATTTAACTGAACAAAGGGCCGTAAAATCGTTGAGAATGTCAAGATATGCAGCCGATATAGTTGAATATATACATATGCTTACAGAGGAAAATGTGAGCGTTAGTGCAATTATTCAGACTCTGAATCTGTTATCGAATACGGCTAAA